TAAAATTTCAAAGATTGTTTTTATGTGTCCCACACATGATCTTTTGCAATGTGATCAACAACTGATATCGGACACATACTTAATATGTGTACACATAAAAGCCATGTGTAACCACACATACTATTCATTTGACTCATAAATGTCATGTGTGCTTCTGGGTGGATTCTGTTTAGGTGTGGTCTCATGAAAATTATGTGGAATTTCACATGGAAATTCGTCAACAAAAATATGTGGAATTTTATTAGTGTAGGCACGTTATTTTGCATTTTTGGCTATTTTGGCTGAACAACGGCTATATCAATGTTTGCAAGTTCTGATGAGGCCCGTATATAGCCAAAAAGGCGAAATAACGTGCCTATGGTTACTTGGGTACCCCTCCCCTGTGTTCATTGCTCCTAACTTCCACGACAACATATAATTGAATATTATAAAAGAAAGAAATTTTTGGGGTACCAACGTTAACAAGCGTATTAAAATTAAAATAAAAAGATCGATCTACTAAAGATCGATTCTTTGGTACCAATTTAATCAGTAGATCGATTCTAGAGCCAAATATAGAGTGAAGATCGATCTTTCTCTGAAGATCGCCCAATCCTAAAGCAGAATTGTGAATATCACAGTGTATTGTCCAGATTTTGCAGCACTGTCTCCAAGTGGGCTATAATACGCTCACCGAATTGTAGTGTGAAAAGCATAACCATCAGGCGTGAAAGTTTAATATTCAATAGTTAAAGAGCAAATATAAAGCCTAAATATATGCTTCTGTGGGATGAATTCAGTATTTGCCCCTCAGTGTTTTGAAAACAGGTTTTTGCAAGCCTTTCATTTCACCAATTTAACACACTCTTTGTGGATTTAACGAGGATCTTTCTTAGCATGGGCATTTTTCCGCCGTATCTCCCAATTGTTTTTAGTTGATCCATAATTCTGGGATCAGTGTATCTCCACAACATGTGATCTCAATAGAAATCGTGGAGCTCTAGGATGAGTTTCATGAATTGCATATTTTAACGGATGTTACAAACCTTCCGAACGACCCTTAGGCGCAGAGTTCACGGTTATATTACAACCCTACATTTAGGGGAAATTGGGATAAAATGCCCATAGCGGGCAAAATTTGCCCTTCTATCTAAGTTATACACTCCGCTTCATAACAATAGAACCACTGAAAAAATTTGCACATTTCTTTGATAGTGTATCTGTTTACTTCATTCATCAGCACATAATGTCCGTGTGATAGAGCTAACGTACACCACAATGCATTTGTATTTATTAACATGGTTTGTGAATGGATAAAAGAGAATTGTGTGAAATTTGCTGTTTCACAACTATAGAGACAATTATAAAGTCATTCGCTTCAGTTGCAGCCCAGTTTCTTTCACCAATGATCATGTTGTGACGCGTTTGTGTAAGCTCTAAAATGTCGCGTGGAACGCGTTTGTTGGAACAAGAATAAGGAAAGATTTTGGCTTATCGTGAATGTGATGTTAGTATCGTCAAATTGCGCGTCGTTTAAGTAGATCACATCACGTTATCAGCACTTTTTTGTAAATACCGTGGGGGACCGAAATCCGTACACCTCATACAAGAAGTAGACGTTTTTTATGAAATGTACGAATTGACATGAAGTTTTTTTTGGAAATAATAAATGGAGAAGACATCAATATATTCCGGAATCAAACACACATATTCTACATATGGTGCAGAAAAAGTCTATTAGAATTGAATGTAAAAAAATGCAACTTAATATCATTTAGCAGGAAAAAAAAACAACTACAAATATTTCAATTTCACTAGGAAATCATAATCTAGAAAAATGTGAAAGAGTTAGGGATTTAGGAATTATCTTAGACTCTAAACTGACTTTCATAGACCATTACAACACAATTATTCACAGAGCAAATAACATGCTAGGCTTTATCAAGCGCTTTTGCTATAACTTTCAGGACCCATACACAAACTATATATTGCCTATGTGAGGTCAATACTGGAATATTGCAGCATTGTCTCCTTTTTCAATCACGCACGAAGAAAGATTAGAATCCATACAAAAACAATTTCTATTATACGCTCTTCATAAATAAGTTGGACATCATTTCCTCTTCCATCATATGAAGCACGCTGCATGGTTATAAACATACAAACATTAAAAGAGCGTCGTGAATATGCAATGGTTTCATTTGTAAACGATATCGTTTCGCAGCGCATTGACTCCACAGAACTTTTATCAAAATTAAATTTCCATACACCTACTCGGCAACTCCGAAATCGAAATTTATTTGCCATAAAACATTATCGCACAAATTATGCAAAATATGGGCCATTAAACCGCATGATGGCCTTTTACAATCAGTACTGCGAAACCATTGACTTTACAATGTCTCGGCATAAACTAAAACAAAATGTTTACTCTAGAAGGCATTATAACTCATAAAAAAATAGGTAGACAAAATTATACTTTTAAACTTTTGTCCAAAGTTAACGAAATAAATAAATAAATTTAAGAAAACAAAACTGTATTCGAATATGTACTAGTCTACGTTGGTTGGCGAAATAAATAAATAAATAGATATGGTGGACCTAGCAAACGGGGACCTAAGAAAAAGCTATCCTATAGCAACGCAGAATAATTCAAGCTGCAAGCAACTTACTAAACAGCTTGAATCAGATAAAGTCAGAACTATCACTTGATGTTTCGCGATCGACAGTCTACCGAACATTGAAAGGCAGTTCTCACATTCAGCGACAAAAACTGAAGCAAGCTCCACGGCTTTTGCCTCGTCATAAGGAAACTCGACTTCAATTCGCACGAGACAAAATGCGTAGAGGTTGGAGTAGGGTATGTAACCGTGTTAATTCACAAATAAACAATTTTTTAATTTAGTTTATTCCTTCAGGTGATCATTTCTGATGAGCAGAATTTTAATTTGGATGGGCCAATTTATTTTTCCACACGCAACTTTGGTGCTGATAGTTTGATGATTTGGGGAGCATTTTGTCTAGGGTTACCATATGGTATCCTGAAGGAGGACATGTCCTCCTTTTTAATATTTTTTCTACATCCTCCTTTTGGCCGAAAATGTCCTCCTTTCTAAACCTTGCCTTTTTCCAGTACCGTATTCATAAAATTGTTTTTAAAGAGCGTTGTTTGCAGAGCTTATTTGTTTAATTATGTCGTAACCTCATCTTATCTAGCAAATGCCATTCGATGGTGGGACTAGGAGTATACTACTGCTGTCAACCCTCCTACATTTAGGCTGCGGTTCATTTGGTGAATTTTAACTTATATTTGACTGATGGAAAATTTTCAAATAAACCTGCTATTCTACCAGACTTATTTCAGACAAACCAGGAATCAATTCCTCTAGGACTTTCTTTACCCCCTGATGTTAATAGGTTAAGGTATTGCCGAGGCCGAGGTTTCCCCTATCAAAAATGAATGATGAAGGCTAGTGTGATGCAGAAGTTAACGAGAAGATGAATTGAATTGGTAACGACTAAGTTATGAACAATCTCAATTGAACTTTAGCAAATCATGAAATTTGTCATAGCGCACATATTATTAAAACGTTCGATAAAAACTCATTGTCCTCTTTTAATGTTAAGAAAAGGAATCATTGTCCTCCTTAGTCTCCAATCCTCAAATGAAATGTCCTCCTTTTCAAGTTTGTGATATGGTAACCCTAATTTTGTCAGAGTGGAATGGTGAATTTTGCTTTTCCTTCAACACGCATGAACAGTCAGGAGTACACCGAACTTCTTCAAAACTATTTGCTACCATTCTTACAACAAAACCATCAAGTTAACTGGACATTCCAACAAGTTTAACAAGTTAACAAGTTTAGTGTAAGACGTTAGGCACAGCATGTTCGTAGTTGTGGAACGCCCAGTTATAAATCCGTGTTGATCTATACTTAGATATTGCTTGCAATACGCACAGCCAGAGAAGCAAGTTTTGGATATTTTTTTCCAAAAACTTAAGTTTTTTTCAAAAATCATAACATTTTTGTCCATCATTTCTCCATCTTGTCTTATAGTGAAATAGCTGGCATTCATTGTCTCCTAAAAATATATATAAAAAAAAATACAAAAATCCGTTTCGGAAAAAAAAAACTATTTATAAGTTTTATTTAAAATTTTGTTTAGAGTGCATTTTTTTTTTCTTCAAATAGTTCCAGATGTTCTCTATAACATTGCAGAAGATACCAAACCGATTGGACAAACATTGTTCGAGTAACAGTTTTCTGAAAATAAGCATAACATTTTTCTATAGGCCCTTTTCAAAATTAAGGCTCCATTTAAAATGGTGATCTGAAGATGCAAAATTAAATGGCATTGTTGGACATGAGGAGCGTTTCTGAAAATATTCAGCCAAGTGAAAAAAATATGAAAATTAATGGATTTGCGAATCTGGAGTCACTCACCAATAAGAGGAGATTTACCTGCATTTGATGGGGTGTAAATGTTATTTTCGACGTATGGAAAATTGTGACTCCTCCTCCAACTCTGCAGTTTGAGTATTTCTAGTAGGTTTCATAGTGTGCACAGAAACTTCACATAGGAATATGGCTCTCATGTTGGCCTATGATTCTAAAGATTGGGCCCATCGATAAAAATATCATGTTCTTCATGTTTTCTTAGATCAGTGTGTCATTTGGGTAATACAAATTGATAATCTTTCATGTCAAAAAATGTTTTCCTTTGAAATTTATGTATGGGTCCAATATTAGGGACACTTAGGCCGACATTAGGGACATTTTCCCTGTTGTGTTTTTTTTTTTTTTTTTTTTTTTGTTGAAGCCTGACACAATTGTTCTAGGTGATGAAGGGTCAACTAAATACTAATGTAATAATCAGGGCCGGTTTTCTATACCTGGTGTAGGGAACGATACTTCAAGTTTCATTAAATTTTATGTTTAGGTAAACGCTATTTATGGGTCATTTTTCAAAAGCTATTTATTGACTGGATTTCTTTTCATTCATCGTTCAATAAAAATATCTTTCTTAATTTATTGTACTAGTTTTACTATCTTCTAACACAGGTTTAACATCATAAGGCAATAAATACAGAAAGGAAAACAATTTATACTGGACTGACTACCAATTTCAGTAGCACCACAAAACCATTAAATGGCTAACAAAGGAATACACGAAGATAAAATATCTAGCTAACACTTAACAGCATTTTTAAATAGCTACTTTTCTACATATAACGATCCATCCACTAATCCACAAATCATGTAAAAATAAAACAAATCCATTATCTATCACTAGTATTTGCTTCCTGCGGCTCGGAAGAGTCTTCGAACGAATTGCTAAAACATCTTCACCCTGCGTGTGGAGGACGAGGAAAATGTTTTCCGCCTCAGTTCAAATGTTGTGTTAGGTTAGTCTCACTCGTTTACTCTACGCGCTCGTTTTCCCTATTTTCCGCTTCCCAAACATCGCTGAGGAGCCGTATCGATCGTATCGATATATTGATGGATGCGTTGGTAACGAATTTGCTGGCGCACCGTGTCAGAAATTTAAAAATCAGAGCAATGGGTAAATATTACCACAGCCGATCAAGAAAGCAAAAGTGGTATTTGAGTTCAATGGAGCGCAGCTAACGGCTTAATGCTATACTGTTGTTGATGGTGAATGAGGGATGTTTGATTTCCAAACAAAATCATGTGATGGCAGCGGAAAATGGGGAACTGGCGAAGGGATTTTCGATGAGCAAGTTTTTTTTTATACAATTGAGTATTTTTTTGTGATTCTTCTTGGCGGAAATGAAATCCCTTTTTTTTCCTGATCTGGTTGGGACGTTCGATGACACTGGGCAGTAACTGGAATGACTTAACCTACGACGATTTTACCATAGTTATCGTTATCTGCAATAAAAGGGGAGGGAATTTGCATTAAAATTTGTATTTTAAAATTAGTAGTTACACATTTTACGAAATGAGGTTATTTGATTGCTTTTTTACGTTTACATTGTGATACATAAACCACAGACAAACGGACATAAATTGCATGTTTTTCATTGAATAATTATTTATCATTCAAACAAAAGTTTTCATAGCCAGCCATGTATAGTCAAGTACTTTGGCGTAAGACGTTGAAACCAGGGTTGTTAATCGCTAACCGTCGATAACATCAGCGTTAAAGTCTGCAATGGAGAATTTGCATTGCAGACGATATCGACGGTTATTGATTAACAACTCTGGTGTAAACACATCCGCCATCTGTTGAGCGTACAGCCCATGGCAGTATACTCAACAGGTGACGGTAGTGTTTTAGCGACTATGGTTCACGAAGAAAAGTATTCAATGCGGTATGTCTGTTTGTCAGTGAATAAACTATCATTCAAGTTATGTTTGAGCTTATCCTTTTCACATAACAGCTCCGGTTAGTTCTACGACGAGTTTTGAATTGTGAGCAGCTGAAAAATACATTGATTAATAGACCATCAACTTGGTTTCATACCAGTGATATTTGTATTAAACACAACGTTCACTACACTAAAGTACAACATAACATATCGGTGCATTCTCTAGTGAGTGTGTTAGTCAATATGTCGATCACTACTCAAAAATACACAAGGATTAAATGTGTCATAAATTTACCTGAATTTTGAAGCCCTATTAGCTAAAGTACACTAGATCGCAATACACAGTATTTGCTAGGTCATTACGTCTTGGTAGTCGTACTGTCGTCACCGTTACTGCTCTTAGAAGATTTGTCACTCTTTCCGGGGTTATTGCTGGCGTCTGATCGTCTACTCAAGTCATGAATGGAGGATGCTAGTTGGGAAACATCGACCGGGTCATTGATTTCGTACGTCAGTGATTTCTGAACTTCAATTCCTGGTCCAAACTTTGAGCTCAGATCGTGTAGCTGTTGTTGGTGAATCTCTTCATCGTCCAAGTGTTGTAGATACTTTTGATCGGAAGTCAGTGCTGTCGGTCTAGGAGGGGATAGGTATGGGGACACGGAGTAGGTACTGGGATGCGCCGAAGTCTGGGATTTCTTAGATCTGGGATCTTGATAGTTGGAGTGTGATTGATGGACCTCTTTTTCTTTCTTACCAGCCATTTTGACGCTCATGGAACGATAGATATCGTAGGATGGTGGGTACTGGGATTCAACTCCCTCCACGTACTGTGAGTTGTATGGACCGCCAAAGGAAGTCGTTATCGACTGGGAGTGGGTTACAGAATCGACAGCACCATGGGGAAGGCCGTATAGTGGTGGCAGGTAGTTGTTGCCATTCAGTGGCTTGAATGGTGGAGGATAGGATTCAATTGGGATATCGTGTTGGGAGATGACCTTCTTCTTTTCGTATTTGACTGGTCCAGTCGATTGGTGATGGTAACTGTTGTAGCTATATCCCGTCGGAGTCCCTTGTGGAACTTTTTGTTTCAGTATTTGCCTCAATACGTCGGATGCTTCTACGACATTGGATTTGCTTGGTGTTTGCAGAAAATGTGGAGCCGTTGAATATGCTGAGAAAATAACTGGATTAGTACTTGGCCGATTAAGGGGCAAATGAAGTCAAATTAATTATTACAATTTCCATCATAACATAATGAAATATAAATACAACACACTAAATACAGTACACAGTGGTGCATGCTAGGAATTCAGCATGACAAAAGTCTTAGTGCTTTTGTCTTAAGTTTTTGGTGTCTTAGGTGAACTTGTTTTTGCTAAAGAAGCTCCTTCTTATGACCGTTTTGACGTTGGATAACGTCTTTCGGCAACATACGGGAGTACAAAATTGAAAACAGTCAGTTTGGATGCGTTACAAAAAATTAAAAGATTTTGAACGATAATAACTCAACCGTCTCTCGATAGATTTACGAGATAATGGCATCAATCGATTGGAAATATTTCTAGCAATTTTCTGAATGTTTCAAAATTATTGATTTCATACTGTAAACTATTGAAAAATGGTTAAAAGTAAACCATTGTCTAAAGATGGTGAAAATCGATTGATTTTTTTATATTCTTATACTTTTTCCAACCGAGACATCAGATGCGAGTATCTGACACCTTTGATATTTTCTGTTCTACTATATAAGCGTCCAACAAGGTCGCCCGTTCCATCATTGTCTATCCGATCGTCGACCCAGCAGCAGAGCAGCAGAGCAGCAGTACCAGAGCAGCGGAAGCAGAGCAACGGCAGCAGAGCAGCGGCAGCAGAGCCTGGGGGCGAAAGGGCAACAACGCCGAGTGCGTTGGTGCCAGTGCTCCGGTATACTGGGCCGCCGTCATGGAATGCCCAGCTGCTGCAGTTCTCAGTCGGTCGTATTCACCGTCTGCTCCGCAAGGGCAACTACGCCGAGCGCGTTGGCCACAACATTATCAAGAAAGAGTTTAACGATTAATTTTCTAATGCCTTTCCGACACTTGAATATCGAAAGTTGAATCTTCGCAGAGCCATAGATTCCATTTTTATTGCATTTCTACAAAACTTATTTCAGAATCGAACTCGTCTTCACAGACTGTGTGAAGAAGAACGATGCATCATCGAGCACAACCCGTTCCGTTCCAAAATCGTCCTCATCACAACCTCCAAAACAACCATCTACCCTCTCGACATCTCGAGTGGATTTCCCGGTTCATCATACCACCTAGCGCTGTTCTACTGATTGGTAATAATATTTACCCGGAGTTCACCGCACTCGTGGTTGAAGCAAAGCGCCCGGCATGCAAACCGCTCATCAAAATCGCCATCGCCATCCGGTACCCAGGCTCGGCATAACCATCATTCCAAAACCACAACCAAAACGGACCTCTTCAGGGCCACCAATAATTCGACAAAGAGTTAGTTTTGAAGACAATTTCTTTCCAGAATATCACAGTTACACTTAAATTTGGGGACAATACTGGGGTGTGGGAACGCTGGAAGGGGAGATGCTGTCTGTCTTCGAGCTACCAACATCATTCCAAAGCTCCTCCAGGGCGGCAGAGTAGAGCAAACCCAACAACATCAGCCCAACAAAACGGCCCTTTTCAGGGCCACCAAACTTTCGCAAAAGAGTTATTAAGGAATATTCCTTAAATATAATATTCACAATTAAGTACAACACATAACAGACGTTATCCAACGCCAACCCTGCGGTCGTATCTAGTATACAACCCTTCCAACTTTTTAAAATAAGGACGGTCCTCAAATAAATTGATGTTCAAAAACTCACTCTCTTAGTTTTGACAATAGACACTCATGATTTATTTCCCTTGATTTGGTTTCCGTCGATCTTGTTTTCCGTGCTGAGCACCAATGCTACCGACGCCATGGAGGCAGCTCCCACACCTGCACCCTACCTATCGATCCATCAACTCATGAACCAGGGACCAACGCTTTTACGAAGGAAGGCGTGATCAGAGATGTTATGCCTCAGAACATCCCGGCGGCGCCGACTGGGATTGAACCTAGGCCTACTGGGGTGAGAGGAAATCACGCTTACCATTACACCACCGGCACCGCTACACTCATGATCTTGGGCAAAGTTGGAGCTGAAATAATGTAAAGCTACTTTGTTGAAGAAACATTTTATCTATGTGTGAACGTTAGCATTGCTCTATTTTTAGAATTCTCGATGAACATTTCAAATGGTCCTATCTGCTTTAATCGATTCTCTTCATCGACTTTCTCTTTTGATAACCACGCCTACGCAAATTCATTTCGTGCTATTTTTGCCAAACAGTTTGATAGCAGAAAATTCTATTTTGTGTTTAGAACATTAAACACAGGAAGGAATGCTGTTGAACTTGAGTTATTAACGAAAGAGAAAGTCAATGAAGAGAATCAATCAATGCAGATAGGACCTTTTGAAATGTTAACCTAGAATTGGTTTTGAATGTTAGACAAATTGTACAACGATCAAGTCATAGCAGGTACAACTTTTCAGAAGATAATGTGTCTCTATTTTCAAGGATATAAAAGTTTGCTAATTAATATCAATGAATTTAAAAACCAGTCTAATTATAAAAACGGCAAAAAAGGAGATTTTCAAAATAAAAAATACCGAAGACTGATGTCTAAAACAAAAGAAAGCAGCAATAGCACTTTTGTCTAGCTAAACTCCCATCCTGAAGCACTTTGCACTGTGCAACGGTGACAATAAAATGCACCGACTGAGCTGCGAGTACTCTTACCAATTTCTGGTAAACTTCAGAGAAGCTATGCCAACTGCAGAGATTTCAATTTCAGGCCTATTCTGCGTGATGTGAGATGTGAGGTATCTCGCTGTCCTGATAAAGTTACATGTCCCCTCAACCTTAAACATAATTTTTGAAGATCAATCAATTAAACTTGAAGTTCGCAAAATTCCAAGAAGGTCTCAGAAATTTACGGCGATTGAAGGATTCCTCTGAAGATTACAATACAACTCCGAAGTGCGCTAAACTTCTATGGAGTTAACAATAGCTTCTTGAAGATCACAGAACTTTTGTATGGATAGCTGTTATAACGACTTTTTAATAATTATTGTAGGACTGCAAAAACTATTTTGTTCGCCACGATGGTGATGATGGATTTTTGATATTTGATTTAATAGTAGCAGTAATTTTTTTTTAGTAATTTACAAAGGTTTGAGCCTCGCGCGCGTTTTACGGATGTAGAGGACTGAATTTAACATTTGAAAAAAAGCAATTTTGAAACTTATTTGGAAGACACCTTAAGTTAGTAGTAAGTTTTCTGGCAAATGTTGGGGGTTCGTGAGCATTTCTGACTTTGATGAAAATTATGATAGCATCAGATTGCGGGGTTGTTTATGTAATAGGATGCTTTGTTGATTGTTCATCTGAGCTTTTCCACATTTATATCGCTGTGAAGCAACTGTAAACTCTAGAGGGAATTTATATCTGTAAATGTAATCAGTTCGTTTTTTGCTAACCTGGTTAAAATGTTTACATTTATTTATCTTAAAGATAAACCGTCCAGCTCAAATCTTTGTAGGGGTAAGAGGTGGGACCATCATCAACAGAACTACTCTCAATGAACTTTCGAGAGCTTTAAAGAGTTCCTATGAAGTTTATGAATGATCTGGTAACTTCAAAGGAAGTTCTCTGATCTTAAAAAGAAGTTATCTGAACTTCAAGCTAGTCCAGGCGAAGTTCTCTGAACTTCACACAAAGTTCTCTGAACTTCAGGCGAAATTCTCTGATGTTTACAGAACATCCAACGAAAAGCTCACAGAACGCATAATTTCCGTTAACTTGAACGAACCCTGACGAAAAATTTACAGAACTTCCTTAAAGTTCAGAGTATTTAAAAAAAAATCCCTAAGGTTCACAGAACTTCCCCGAAGTTCACAGAACTTCATCAAAGTTCCCTGAAAAACAGTTGAGAAAACTGCCGCCAAGAAGTTAATAGAATTTCCGTCCAGAGGTTCATAGAACTTCTGATAAGAAGCTCAGAGAACAACCAACGAGAAGTTCAGAGATTTTCGAGAAGTTCACCGAACTTTATTTAAGTTCTCTGAAGTTCTGACGAGAAGTTCAGAGCTTCTGACGAGAGGTTCTGATGTTCAGAAGATGTTCATAGTACGTCCTGGAGCAGTTCATCCAGAAGAGCAGTATACTCAGAAGCATAATCCATCCCGAATAGGAAACACGTTTCTTGGCAAACATGGAACATGGAATAAGGGAAATAGGATGTTGCGGAAAAGCCCGTTGTGGGATTTCAAATTATTGCCGAATTTTCCAATCAGTTGCTGCTTCCTCTCGAATAAGATGCGTATAACTTTTTTGAATTTATTTGCTGCAGCTAGGAAGATAATGATGAAAAATTATTTACCTGCAGAAGGACGTTCCGATTGGGGCCAACTCGTAACAAACTTTTTGTTAGTTGCGATCGCAACAGCTAGGAATCCGTTAACATAAACAGAAAAATGACATTTGATGCTCGTGCATATGTGTGTGTAAGAGCAGCGGAAGCAAATTTTGTTTTGGCTGCGTTCTTTTTCAAAATTTGAAATTTTCTCTAATACGCCGAAATCGGCATATTAAAATAGATAGGTGTAGTGATATAGATGCACTTCCACAGTTATTAATTGAGAGTTTTCGATGTCGTATCATGTTTGCATTCGTATAATTGTGTGGCAAGCGCCATCATACTCTATGCCTAGGGAAGTCAAGAAATTTTCCAACCCGAAAAATTCCTTGATCGCACTGGGAATCAAACCCAGCCACCTCCAGCATGGTCTTGATTTGTAGCTGCACCTTTACCGACTGAGTTAAGGGAGGCCTCTTCTATGTATTTATTCCCTATGAGCATTCTACGTATTCCCTATAAAAAATCAAAATTATCCATCGACGGTTCTGAGAGGTATCCCGATTTTGAGATTTTAAGTGATTTTATCCTGAAGCGTTGGTTATCTGAATATGTTTGTGCAACTTTATTAAGTTGCAAAATTTTTGGAATAATTCCTAAAAAATGAAGGTGTTCAATAAAGTTGTTCAGAAATAAATGGAAACCAACTTTATGTAACACTGT